TTTCTTTCTATTACAACTTGGGTCAGTGTTATGATGGTACAGATAGTTGCTCTTGGCAGAGTTTTGAAGATAGGTATAGATGGTATAGATGTTGTGGTTTCTGAAGTCAGATGTGATCGATCAATTTTTTTTTGCTTTTCAGGAAGTGGTGAAGCTTATGTTTGAGTGCACCAGAAGGTCTGTATTTCCTATTCTCTAAGGAAAGGAGTGGCTGTACTGCATATGAATACTGTATTATTTTTTTCAGCCTTGTAAAGCATCCTGGAAATTATGCATCTGAGATTTTTGTTGCTTGGTCTGTCAGAGGAATTTTCATGTTTTATCCCTAGTAATGTTCAATGCTCTGTTGACTTATGGCAGCACTGCCTTCTGAGTAATCTTGCTGCAAGCATGTTCATGTAAATGTTTGAAATGGTGGCACTCTAAATAATAGTTTTTCATTTTAGTCAACTTCAGTTAATCAAAAGCTAGTTATGGTTGGATTAAATGGTTTAAGGGACTGCAAATTGCCATCATTTTTCTGCTGGATATTCCAGGCATCAAAACTAAAACCGCAGCGCACTTAAGATAATTTTCTCCTCTGTGTTCCTTATCCTTACCTTGGATAAGTTGGCTGAAGAATTTCCTGCTCGTCATTGCAAATACTTGAAGTGGTAACTTGGGCATGTGAATCCTGTATCTCCTCTTATAATTATCATGTGCTGGTTTCTCATGTCCCAGGATATATAATGTTCCTTTGCGAGGAACATTTCCCAGCTGCATATGCTTTGGGCAAAGAGTAGGCAAGTGTGAAGAGTAGCTGGTAGGAGAAATGAGTGGAGTGGCATCTGTTTATAACATAACCTGATTTTGCCTATTCAGTAGCAAATTCTGCCTTTCCTGACTTTACTGTTGTTTTTGTCTCTTCTATTTACAGTGCATACACATAGATGGCTTCTGAAGTGTATTTTATTGTTGTTGGATTGGTGTATTTTTCCAAGTAAAATAATAATTACTACTTAATGCTGAAGACACTTTATCCTTCTGACAGTCACTGTCCAGATTATTGCACATATGGTGAAGGGTCACTTCAAGAGGATTTATGAAGAGGATCCTTAATCCCTGTGAGATCACTAACCTGCTTGTTTCTCTCTAAGTAATTACTGCACCAGTAAAATCACATTGCCTTCCTGTGGGATAAAATTCAAAGATAAGGGGAACAATTGTATTTGCGATTGTTTAATGTCCTAACTTTTCACCAGAAGATGGCAGCAGGCTGATGTTAGTCACAGATATTTCAACTGCTTACTGTTGGATAAACGTGGAGGTAGTGGGCTAAACACTTGGAACTGAATTTACCATAGTTTGCGGCGAGAAACCTGGCATTGCAAAGCATTGCATGTCAAGCTGTTTTGTGGGTTTGTAGGTCTGGCTGGCTGCTGGCCTGCAAGTCCCCTGGAAGTCCTGGATGTTGTTCTTCAGTGATGTCCTTTCACCCGACATTTTTTCAAGAGCATTTGTTTTGGAAGAAAAATCAAAGCAGGTAGAGCTGTTGCTTAAAGAAGCTTGAATTATTACATATTGCATTTCAGTTCAAGAAAATGTTTTATTCTGTTCCTAGAATTAATTTTCTTGGCAATAAACATCAGTTAAACTGAATGCATGTTTTCTGTGACAGACAGCAAAAGTGGATAATGGACTGGAATTGATACTGGATGGTGCAGATAGAATTCAAGTTTTCAATGAAAAGCCTATGTAAATATTGACAAAAATTGTGGAATTCAGCAGCTTTTGCAGATGTTTTGTGTTATCGTTAGCGGAAAATGAGCTGTGTTAGCCAGAGAAACAAAGATGTTTTTTACTCTCCAGCCAAAAATTAATCTTCACCATAGTATATGTTTAGCATGGTAAGAACCCAAAATGCAGAGTTAGATACAATTATGAATTTTCTATTTTCAATGCATTCACATATTGCAGAATAACTTCACCACTGGCAAACCCCTTCTTTTAAAGAATGTAAGGAGAGGAAAATACAGGTCTTTTTCTTTGATTAGAAGTAAAACACCAAATCCAGCCAGTGTGATCCACTGCACCATGAGTTGATAAGACTTAATGCCAGACTTTCATATTTCCCTGTGTACCTGAAGCTGAGTTCCTTTAATGAGTTTAATATGGACAGACACATAAGAGAAGGTAATGCAGTCTAAGATCACTTGGTCTTGCCCAGACCCATATGTCAGCTAACACGTTACAGATTGAGTCCAAGATGCCACAGTCTAAATATTCATGCTGTTGTCATTTATTCCTACATGTTGATTCCTAATCCACAATCAAAGCAGTTATATGCCTGCAGCTGTTTTTAGTGACCTCTTTACAGCAAAACATGCTAATGCTGTGGAAAAACCCAAGCAAAAGTGAAAGATCCAATTCTTTGAAACTGTGGCTCTCAAATAAGTCTTCACCTGGGGAAAATCTGGCATTTGAAAATGGAACAATTAAAATTCCCATTAGTAGCGCATGCCAGCAATTTCAAAAGTTTGACAGATGCACATAGAAATAAAAAAGAACACAAAACTGTATGACCATTTTAACACAAAGGGCGGGGAGCTTCGCTTCACCTGTGTAGGTACAATTCAGTTGACTCGCAAGTTTTATGTAAAATCACTGGTAATTTCTGGTAAAGGCAGCTGTAGTGGGAGAATTGGATAGGTTGGCTGCCAGTCCAGTCAACTGCTTCCCCAGTCCCCATTCTACTGTCCACTCACTTGAGAGGTATGGGAAGAGAGGTAGCCATTGAAGACTGAGGCAAAAAAGTTGTTGAGTGTATCAGCTTTCTCTTCATCTACTGTTATCAGTTTACCAACATTGTTTATCAGTGGGGATACACCTTTTTTGACCTTTCTTTTCTGATTAACGTACCTGTAGAAGCCCTTCTTGTGATTCTTTGCTTCCTTTGCCAGGTTTAGTTCCAGCTTCACCTTGCCCTTCCTCACCCCATCCCTACACAATCAAACTTCATCTCGATACTCTTCCCAGGTTATCTGTCCTCATTTCCACTGTCTGTGCACTTGCTTATTTCTCTTTATTTTGACCAGCAGTTCCCTACTCAGCCATGCTGTCTCTTGCCTTCCTTGCCTGAATTCTTGCTCCTGGGAATTGCTAGCTCTTGCACTCTATGGAAGACTTCCTTAAAGATCTGCCGGCTCTGTTCCACTCTCTTGTCCCTGAGCGCAGTCTCACAAGGGAGAGACATGATATTGACTATCTTCTAGAAGAGCTGAAAGTTTGCTTTCCTAAAATTCAGGGGCCTAACTTTACTCCTTACCTGACCCATATGCTTCAGGACTGAGGACTCCACTAATGTATGATCACTGCAGCCCAGACTGCCTCCAATCTTGATGTCCCTGACAAGCTCACTTAATGTTTGTAACCCTCAAGTCCATTGTTGCATTCCCTTTGGTAGGGCTGCTTAATACCTGGCTCAAGACGTTACCATCTATGCATTCCAGGAGTCTTCTGGATTGCCTGCAGCTTGCTGTGCTACTTTTCCAGCATATGCCGGGGTGGTTGAAGTCCCAGCAGGACAAGAGCCTGTGAACACGATGCCTTTTGTAGCTGAAGCAACAAGGCTTCATCAATAGGCTTCCTTTGATCAGGGGCCTGTAGTAGACACCAACCACAAGGTTTCCTTTGTTGCCTCAGTCTCTGAATCTTACCAACAGGCTTTCAACCTGTTCATTGCTGTTCATCAGAGGCAACTCTTCACACTCAGTCCACCTCTTCCTCCCCTGTCTCTTCTGAATAGCCTTGGTAGGTCAGTGCTGTTCTCCTTTTGCTCACTTGTCTACACAAATGAGCTCAATATATGGGCAAACTTGCTTAATAAAGTTATGAGAAATGGACTAAAAAGGATGTTAAGCAGACTTTATAGTCTAGCACAATATGGTGCCCCTGCCTGTATCTCAGATTGACTTGCTTTTTCTTCATCTAGGTGAACTTGGTTTTCTTAGGCTATTTGTGCTGGCTTCATAGACTTTTTTAACTGCAGGCAGTAGTAGTACAGAGAAGTAACCCTTTCTCTGTGCAGGTTATGCTTTTGCACTTTAAATAATCAAGACTGTAGCACCCGTTGCAACGCTGTCTTAGTATTTTGTAGTTGCAATCACAAAATGGTTTGAGTTTAGGAAGGCTTAGTCAGCGAGGCAAGATGGTGGAGTTGCTCTTTATGTGAGAGAGCAATTGGAATATAATGAGCTATATCCAGGGGCAGACAAATGAGTTGAGAGCTTATGGGTAAGAATTAAGGGACAGGCTAATATGAGTTACACTTTTGTGGGTGTTTACTACAGGCCACCTAATCAGGAGGAGGAAGTTGATGAAGCTTTCTATGGGCAGCTGGAAATAGCCTCATGATCACAGGCCCTGGTTCTCCTGGGGGACTTCAACCACCCTGATGTTTGTTGGAGGGACAACATGGCTCGGTACACGCTGTCCAGGAAGTTCCCACAGATTATTGAAGATAACTTTTTGACACAAGTGGCGGAAAAGTCAACAAGGAAAGGTGTGTTACTGGACCTGGTACTAAACAAACCAGGAGGAACTGTTTGAAGATGTGATGGCTGGGGGCAGCCTTGGCTGCAGTGACCATGAAATGGTGGAACTCAGGATCCTGTGTGGAGGAAGCAAAGCAGTAAACAGGACTAGAACACTAAACTTTCTGAGAGCTAACTTCAACCTCTTCAAAGAACTGCTTAGAGGAATCCCATAGATAGGGCTCTAGAAGAGAAGAGAGTGCAAGAGAGTTGATCAATGTTGATCAATATTCAGCATCACTTCCTCCAAGATCAAGACCACTATATCCCCACGAGCAAGAAATAAAACAAAGACAGCAGGAGACATGCATGGATGAGCAGGGAGCATCCAGCAAATCATAAACAGATGGAAGAAATTTCCAGGATGTGGCTAAAGGGACAGGCCACATCAGAAGACCATAGGAATGCTGTCAGATATGCAGGGATGTGATGAGGAAGCTCAAGGCTCGCCTGGAATTGAGTCCAGTAAAGGATATCAAAGACAACATGAAGGGCTTCTACAGGTACATCAGCAGCAAAAGGAAGATTAAGGGAAATGTAGGGCTGCTGCTGAATCAGAGAGTGTCTCGTTGGATGGAAGACACAGAGAAGGTGGACTTACTGAATGCCTTCTTTGCCTCAGTCTTTACTGCAGAGGCCAACCCTCAGGAATCCCAGACCTTGGAGGTGAGAGAGGAAGGCTGAAGAAAGGAAGACTTCCCCTTGGTTGCAGAGGGCTGGGTTAGAGATTGACGAGACAGACTTAACACCATAAATCCACGGGCCCTGATGGGATGCACCCACGGATGCTGAGGGAGCTGGCAAATGTTATTCCTTAGCCACTCTCCATTATCTTTGAAAAATCATGGAGAACAGGATTGACTCCATGCCTGATGACTGGAGAAAAACCAGTGCTACTTCGGATTCAAAAAGGGCAAGAAGGAGGACTCAGGAAACTGCTGGCCAGTCAGTCTCACCCCAGTCCCAGGAAAGGTGATGGAACAGATCATTCTGGAGGTCATCACAAAGCATGTAAAAGACAAGAAGGTCATCAGAAATAGTCAGCATGGACTCACCAATGGGGAATCCTACTTGACCAATCTGATACCTTCTGTGATGGCATGGCAGAATGGGTTGATGAGGGCATGTTGTCTACCTTGGCTTCAGCGAGGCTTTTGACACTCCTCCCACAATATCCTCTTAGGCAGGACATGTGGGTTAGGTGAATGGACAGTGAGGTGGATCAAGAACTGTCTAAATGGCAAAGCTCAGAATGTTGTGATGAGTGGAGCAGAATCCAGTCAGCGGCCCCAAGGGATCCCCAGGGATCAATACTGTGTCCAGTCTTATTCCACTTATTTATTAACAGCCTGGATGAAGGGACTGAGGGCACCCTCAGCAAGTTTGATGATGACATTAAACTAAGGTTAGTGGCTGATACACCTGAAGGCTGTGCTGCCATTCAGTGAGACCTTTATAGGCTGGAGAGTCAGGCAAAGAGAAACCTAATGAGGTTCAACGAGGCCAAGTGTACGGTCCTTCACCTGGGGAGGAATAACCCCAAGTACCAGTGCAGCTGAGGACTGACCAGTCCCAGAGCAGCTCTGCAGAGAAGGACCTGTGAGTCTTGGTGGATGACAAGTTGACTGTGAGCCAGGAAGGCCAATGGTATCCTGGGGTGCACTGGGAAGAGTGTGGCCAGCAGGCTGAGGGAAGTGATCCTCCTCCTCCTCTACTTGGCCCTGGTGAGGCCACATCTGGAGTGCTGTGTCCAGTTCTGGGCTTCTCAGTACCAGAGAGACATGGAGGTACTGTAGAGGGTCCAGTGGAGGGCTACAATGATGATCAGGGGTCTGGAACATCTCTCTGATGAGGAGAGACTGTGGGAGCCGGGCCTGTTTAGTCTGGAGAAGAGAAGACTGAGAGGGAATCTCATCAATACGTACAAATCTCTCAAAGGTGGATGTTAAGAAGATGGTGCCAGACTCATTTCAGTGGTGCCCAGTGACAGGACATGGAGCAGTGGCCATAAACTAAAACACAAGAAGTTCCACTGTAACGTGAGGAAGAATTTGTTTACACTGAGGGTGGCAGAGCACTGGAACAGGCTGCCCAGGGAGGCTGTGGAGTCTCCCTCTTTGGAGACATTCAAAACCCACCTGGATGTGTTCCTGTGTCACCTGCTCTAGGTGATCCTGCCTTGGCAGGGAGTTTGGACTATTGTTAAGGTTGTAATGGATCTTAAATATCATCTATTTCCAATCCCTCTGTCCTGAGCAGGATCACCTTCCACTAGAACAGTTTGCTCAAAACCCCATCCAACCTTGGCCTTGGGCATTTCCAGAGACTCTGTGGCTGACTTATAAAGTGAGCTCCTCTTAATCAGCTACCTGTGAGTGTCTAACTCCTGTGCTGTTTTTGTCCCTTGCAGATGTCATCCTTAGCCACACCTACCCATTGGGCTCTATAAAAAGAGTAAGAAGCCCTGCATTCCATTGAAGTATGTGGAGTGATACTCCCTTTATCCCTTCACTGTTCCCAAAGGCTCATTTAAGCCAAAAGAAGTGTACAAGAAGGCACAGATGGAATCTTAACTGCCAAGTATGAAAAATAGAGTAAGGACTTAGATAATATGTGTGAGAGTTGGGTAATGGAGAAAAGAAAAAATTATTGGTCTTCACAAGGGGAACCTGACAAGAACAACAATGCAGTGGTACAGTGATGAGGGCTGTGTGAAGATGGCATGAAGGTCTGTCTGAAGCCACTTATTATAGTGGAGGCAAGCAGCATTTTCTTGCACTTCTAGAGTTTGAGACGTGATATAATCAGGGAATACACGGCCGTAGAAGGACAACCAAGGTCTTGGCTTTTACGTACTTTCTGGATTGGAGAGGGTTCTGGGAAACCAGAAGAAATGTTGTCTAGGAGGTATTGATGTTACTGGAGGAGTATTCTTTTGTTCTGCACTTGGTGTGGTACTTTGTACAAAGTAACATGAGTGCCTGATTTCCAAGGAGGCCTGAATATAGTGATCTTGATGATTGGAAAGGAAGTGTGGACATTTCCTCAGGACAGTTGCTGTAGATTGCTGGGCTGTTTCTTTTGTTCAGTTTTGTTGTTTCTTAGTCTTGATGTCTGAAAGTCCTCATATTTACAGTGTACCCCTTTCCCAGATGAAGTTTACTTCCTTGCTGCTGGCAGTGATGTTGCAAGCACTTGTCCACAGTAGGAGCTAATAAAAATTGGAATCTAATCCTTTAATATGAATCTGACAGCTTCCCTTTCCTAAAACAGTTGCTGCTGCCTGATCTTGTTGTTTACTTCCTTTTTTCTCCCTCACAGTCTTGAGCAATATCATTTTTGCCTTTGCTGAACTGAATTAGAGATGCCAGGGGCTATTAAAAAAGTCTTAACAGCTAACACCACCCATTTTTCCTCATAGAATAATTTAGATTGGAAAAGGCCTAAGATTATTAGGCCCAACCATTAAGCTAACAAGCCCACCACTACACTAAGTCCCTCAGTGCCATATCTACATGTCTTTTAAATATCTCCAGAATGGTGACCATGTCCTTGGGCAGCCTATTCCAATCTTTGATGACCCTTTCTCTGAAGAGATTTTTCCTAATAACCAACCTAAACCTCCCCCGGTGCAACTTGAGGCCATTTCCTCTCATTCTGTTGCTTGTGACTGGGAGATGAGATCGACCCCCCACCTGGCTACATCCTCCTTTCAGGTAGTTGTAGATAGCAATAAGGTCTTTCCAGAGCCCCCATCATGTGCCTCCAGGCTAAATAACCCCAGCTCTCTCAGCCATTTTCATAGGACTTATGCTTCAGACCCTTCACCAGCTCTGTTTTCCTTCTCTGGACATGCTCCAGCACCTTAACGTCCTTCCTGTCATGAGGGGCCAAAACTGAACACAGGATTCGAGGTGCAACCTCACCAGTGCTGAGTAGATGTACTCATGCTTAATTAGACACTGTTAACTGTGGTCTGTGTTTGGCCGAGCCACCTGTGAGAGTCTGTTCTTTTCCTGCCAAGTCATGAGAAAACAAGCACTGATAAAGGGGAACTTCGTCCTTGAAGGAAGCATCTTGAGTAAACTGAAATTAATTGGAGCCTAGCTATTGGCTGATGGCTCTTCAGTGACAATTGAAGGAGAAAGTGAAGAGGAGGGTGTTGAAGTAAGCCCCTAGACTCATTAGGAAAGACCCTCGATGTGCAGCATGCAGGCACAGGAGGGGTATCACTTACATAATGGGGGGAGGGACTGAAGGCCTCTAACTGGGTGATGCTGGCCACACTTGCCCAGGTAGACATCACAGACTAACTGTATAGAAAGCAGACAGGTTTTTTTCTCAGGAGAGGCAGCATGCTTGACATTGGAGACCATGTTTTCCTCATAGGGATGCCTGCCAAAGTGTTGAGCCTACTGACACACTGAGAATGCAGAAGCTCATTATATTGAGAATCTTGAACATTCTGGGCTTGGTATGTTCGACAATCTTGTGAATAACACCTGAGTGAGTTGGGGGTTGTCTTGGACTTGTTTCCTTTTCCTGTTTCTTGGTTTCTCATTTTGTTTGCTACTTCTTTGTAATAAATGCTGTTTTGTAAGTGTTAAAAACACAGAGAAGAACAGTTAGTCATTGGATTGCAAGTTTTTCTGTCCTCTGGGCAACACAAATGCTAAGAAAACATGCTCAATGTGAAAGTGCCAAGGTGTAGTGGAAAAATGCCACCACCTGTTAGAGGGCTACTAAAAATTCTGGCTAAACATACAGAAAATTAATTGACGGAGCATATGAAAATAACTGCAGGGACTGTGAGGCAAGGAAACACTGATTCATCACCAGCCTTCTCTAGTAACATTTCACTGAGTGTTGTGACTGCAAGACCCCTTGATAAGGTCTGGGAGTTGCAGACAGCAGGACTTGTCATGGTGTGTTGGATATAGGTTACCATCATTTTATCAGCAGATCAATCTCTTATCTGTAATCTCTGCTGCAGGTTCTATTGTATTGCAGTAGTCAGAGTGGAAAAAGGTATTCCCACTGTCAGAAAACACTTAATCACACTGTTGAAGAATTGTCTGCCTGTAATGCGTTACTTGCTTCTGGAACAGCCTTGACTGTTTCAAACATAGGATTGTGCAGTAGTGGCTTGGGAAAGACCCTTTCCATTACTGAAGTTTCCCTGCTACTGAGGATGCTGAATGTCAGTTCTATTCCTGCTTGTATTTTCTTGACCCCTCTTAAAAAACACAATGGCTTCAAATTGGTGACAGAAGTATGCCAAGGGGCTGTAATGCGTGATACTTACATAAGCACCTCTTGATATTCTTGGTTATTTTTGCTTCTGCATTTCTGTTTTTAACCCTATACCTCATACATTGTCATGTGAATTCTCTTCCCTTTTGCTTTACACAGACTTTTGAGAACCTTGTTTGTTTGCTAAAATGCAGAAGTAATACAGTATATTCAGAGGCTCAGACTCTTGCCCACTCAGATGCATCATTACTCCAGATACAAAGTGCAATACTAATATTAGAATAGATCCTGTACTGACTGTTTCTCCTGACTGGCTGCCAGCGGTCTAAACAGATTGTGCACACAGGTGGAGAAGTACTGTGATATAAGAGACTGAATTTGCTGGTGCCAGGCAGCAGACCCTCTGCCCTGTACCAAAGGATGTGGACAGTAAAATAGGTTCAAGTTATTAAAGTTGGATGGTAATGCTGTTTTCTTCTCCATCTGTTTCTGCAATGTTTTGTTAGTATTAAGTAACACTACCCCAGTATTTTTAAATAGCTCTTTCAAAGCAGCGCTTGAGAAAAAGCTGACTGTCTGACCATGCTGATGTTGCTTTGCTCAACTAGTGTTTTGCTGTAAAACTGTTTTGATGTTATCTCCCCATCCTGGCCTGAACTGGTGTACAGTGTGTTGTCTGGGAGGCTATTGTTGCCTTCCTCGTATGTTTCCTGTACACACTAGATAGCCTGCTATAATTATTAGCCTTTAAAAGGAGTTATGTCTCGTGGCATAACTCCATGGTAGAATAGAGATAGTGTTATGTAGAGCCATCACCTTCACTAAGTGGAAAGAAGGGGGAATCTGACCTGCCTGGGGTTATTGAGAACTGCCTCAGCTCCTTTTGCAAAGAGTGTGTTTCCAAATGCAAAAGGTTCATGTGTTTCACTAACTGCTTGTATCATATCCAGACTTTCTTATGTTGTGGAGAGAAGTGGAAGTATTAATTACTTTGTGTGTCCCGAAAAAGGAACATAGTTTTTTTCCATAGCACAAAAGAAATAACTACATTATTCTACACAAGAGAGGTTACATAGCTCACGAAGTGTTGCCACAGAAACCTAAACCATCTGAAAAGCTTGTCAAGAGACATGAGAGTATGGATTTGACCTCCACTTACAAACATGACTCCTATGTCTTGAGTAGCTCCATGCCTCTCCTGTGTGATAAGACACATCTTCAGTGCCAAGATGCATATAAGAACTACTTAGAAAGGTATATCTCCTTGCAGCTTCTTTCAGGACTTCACGGTTAACTTCATTTTTGAAGAAGACAGATTAAAAGAAAGCATTAAGTTTTTATTCCTTCTTATATGTATGTCAACAAGCTGTCAAGGAACCATACAGACAGACATTGATGGTCATACAGCAGCATTGGGAGCTCTCTGAATTCACTTCCTTTGCATATCTGACAGGCCTACAGGCATCTTATGTAGAGAAGGGCCATGGGAATTCCTGCAACTATATCCAGCAATATCATCTTTAGGATAGTCTGAACGTAATCCTGGTATACTGCAGGGCTGATCCACACATGCAGTGGATCAGACACGTCTAAAATATGTAAAATTTGCTAGGTCTGAGCAGTTCATGAAGCATGGGACTCTTTCTGTGTATGCTGCAGAGTTTTTCCAGGAATGTACAAGAGATGTACTGCGCTGGTTTAAAGGTAAACCAGCAGGGGAAATGAACCCAACTCAAAAGAGAGATTATAAGTCAGAATAACAATTTAATAAAATAATGCAATAAGTACGATTATACAGACAAACAATTGGTTTTAACCCACTAAACCCAAATTATAGCCCAGCACCCCGGGGCATGAACAGAGTGGTGTTCTTTGGGCCCCCTGAGTCCAAAGTAAAAGGAGAGGGGAAAACCTGTTGCTGAGAGTGCTGTTGCAGTCTGGTCAGGAGTGGTGATTGCAGTCTGGTTGAGAGTGGTGATCTGCAGTCTTCCTCTGGATCCCACGAGTGGTTAAAAAAGTCCCAAGACCCCAAGATTATATATCCTCCAGTTCAGGCAGGAATGCCCAGTACCTCCCTCCCTCCCACAATGGGTGTGAGGACAGGAGCATCCTCCTATCTCACAGGCCTCTTAACACCCAGTTTATAGCTTGAGGAGTCAGGCTGCTCTGCGCAAAGGGTGTAAATGGTCTATTGATAACAGTTTCTGGGAAATGGCATGGAAGGCTATAGAATACACAGTTTTAGGTTACACCCATACAATGATGAACTGGTCCCAGCAGTTCTAACTAGGACATGTACCCAGGAAATATGGACACATAATGCACTCAAGCTCTACCGCTGGTAAAACAGGCAAACTGTGCATCAACCTACGCCCTTGTTTCTCAGTAGCAGTACCTTGGTGTAGGAGGCTTGTCTTTGTGGGAGCTTATTTCCTTCTCCACCAGCAGAAATTCTCTTCTGCATGCACTGGGAGAAAACTTTCAGTCACACAGTTACAACAACCATGCTAGTTTAGGTAGTAAGTCATAAGTAGAAAGTTTAGAGGATTTTCCCTCCCCTCTGCATACCTTTCAGCTAGCTAACATGGGTAGGCAGATAGTTAGAATTTGTGTATTTCTTAAACTATTTTTACTTATTTTATTTTATTTTTATAATGCTGTGCAAATGTAATAGCTTATGATTGGTGCTGACATTGAGATTTGTCCCAATGTACAGAGGCAATTTATTTTTTAAAATTCAAAATTATATAGGAAGTCAGGAAGTTGGGAAAGGTATGTGAATGCAGCATTAAAATTACCTGGCTGAAATGAGTGAAAGTCAGATTTCAGTGCAGGTGCATGTTTGCAACACCATAAACTGCAATTTTTACACTAAGCACACAGGAAATGCTCCTTATTTAGAATGACTTGATTTGTGAAGTCTATGACCCACAAGTGCAAAATACCCACATTTACACAATTTTGAACACCTAGTTCTGCATAGGCAATGTCAACAGACGGTATTCATTGGGATAGCTTCAGTGAAACCAATAAAAGAAGGCTGCTTAGTGCAAGCGAAGGATCTTTCTTTCTGTGTTTTGATATTCTTAACTTCTTTGTATCTGAAACAGATGTATAACTTTGTCTTTTATAGGTGTTTAGGTCAGCACCTTATCTGTAGCTCCAGAGCTCTAATAAAATGTATCACAGACACATTTGGTTATAATTTGCAGTATTTTTCAAAACACTGCAAATGGAAATCTTTGTCCAAACTCCCTCAAAAATCAAGCTGCATACTGAATGAATTTTCTTTTAAAGGCCCAGGTTCAACAAAACATACAGGCTCTCACTGTGTTATTCTCTAAGAGTTGCTAGGTTTTACTGATCCCTACTGTTGTGGTTTAACCTCAGCCATCAACCAAGCCTCATGCAGCCACTCACTCACTGCCCCACCAGTGGGATCATGGGGAGAACTGGAAGGGTAAAAGCTGGAAAACTCATGGGTTGAGATAAGGACAATTTGATAGGTAAAGCTAAAGCTATGTACACAAGCAAAACAAAACAAGGAATTCATTCACTGCTTCCTACGGGCAGGCAGACGTTCAGCCATTGCCCAGAAAGCAGAGCTCCATGACATGCAACTGTTACTTGGGAAGGCAAACACCATCAGTCCTGATATCCCCCACTTCCTCCTTCTTCCTCTCATTTTACATACTGAGTATGATATTATATGGTCTGGAGTATCCCTTTGGTCAGTTTGGGTCACCTGTCCCAGCTGTGTCTCCTCCCAGCCTTCCATGTACCCCCAACTTCTTTGCCAGTGTGGCAGTGTGAAAAGCAGAAAAGGCCTTCACTCTGTGAAGCAATAAAAAATACACCTTTATTACCAGTCTTGTGTTCAGCACAAATCTAAAACACTGCCCCATACAAGACACTGTGAAGAAAATTAACTCTACCCCAGCTGAAACCAGTACACCTACTCAAGTGTAAAAATTTGAAACATTCTATTCAGTTAATTATTGTAACTGAAATATTTGAACAGCATATATAATAGTGCTGCATTGGTATTAAATTACCTTTCCTACTGTATAGTCATGTTCCTTCTGACTAAACACACCATATCCCAAATGACACTGTAGGTTTAAGATGATGCTATTGCATATCAGAGTTCATGTCAGATGATTTTGCAACTTAAGGTTTCAAAATTCTCATCTCCTCCAGGCTACACACATAGCTGTCTCTGTCTATCTGCAGATATGTAATCTAATTTTAATTTAGTCTTGCTTGGGTATAGGTCTTGCCTAACCCTCTAACAACATATGGTTCATATCCTCCATTCCCTCCTGTACCCTCTAATGTTTTCAAGATTGAGCTACATGGGAGACTATTAATATCTGTGAGATAAGAATTAGAGTTACAATAAAACTGTAACATATTTTGAAGGAATAGTAGCACTGCTGGCTTACACAAAGTAAAATAAATTCATAATGCCTAAAACAGATGGACTTGCTTATCATATTCTGAATATTTTGCCAGAGCTGAGGTTATAAATGCGTAGATTGTTTTCCAGCAAAGATGGAACCTAAAAATCTTTTTGGTAACTCTTGGTTGGCATCTGAAATGTGAGATCTCTGAACAAGCCTTTGCTTAGAGATTGGCTGAACCTCATAGGTTTTTCACTTTTTAATACTTTATTAATGCTTCTGCTGCAATAACACATCTGTATATGTATATACTCATGGTTCATCCTGTTGGACCATTACTCCAGCAAAATTATGTGCCTGGATATGGGCACAAGGTCAGCATCTCACTGCTGTAGTGGTGCCTGGACATCTCCTTTTGCCCTAGAGAAACAAGAGCGCCTGGGGCAAACTCTGTTTGGAGTGGAGAGTTCAAATATGCTGATACCTAATTGCATCATTTACTCTATAATACTTTGAAATCTAGACTTCCTTCCTGTGCAAAGTTAGCTGGAAGCTTATTTGCCTCATGACCCTTAGTGTGGTTTGGAAGGAGGGAAAAAAATCCCAAACAACACAACCAACAAAAAAACCCTTGGGTTAGCTCCAAGACTATTTAATTACAACTTCCTACCAGTAACCATAATGCTCTCTAGGGGAAGTTGCACAAGACTGCTAGGAAGCTGCAGCGCTGGTCAGACAGTTAGGCAGCTTTGTGACAGATTCCTAGTGTGACTGAGAGCAAATCTTTTTAAATTACAGGGCCCTCCTGTATTCACCAGAAAACCTGATGTATATCTTCCTCCTCTGGAAATAATGGACCTTTACACCACTACTCAGATATATTACAAGCACGCAAATGGTAAGCCAGACAAGATGTGTCAACCTTTGGCCCACGTTAAAAAAATTACTGAGCCATTCATTAGCTCTTCTGTAATGAAAGAAGCATATAAGCCTTGGCTGTGCAAGAAATTAAAACCTGTCACTCATGCTCTGGAGCTGACTTTCCTAGCAAAAAAAAAATATATTTCTTGACTACTTTTCGGACCCATCATGCACCTCATTTGCTCACAGTGATGCATGGCCTGTTACAAAGACCCACCTGGTTACATCTTTGAGGGAACTGATGCTGCTGGTCACAGTCTCTATATCACTACACCCAAGAGTGAGTGCCTGTAAAGGAAACTTAAGTAAAAAGAGAGCGGACGCAGCCTTCTTGGAAACGGATTCAAAGAGCAGGGCCTCAGTGAGCTACAAATGACAGTTCGATATTTTTGTAACCTTCTTTCAAACCAATCACTGGATTTGCATTTAGAGAGCTCTTAAAATAAACTTAATTCCCTGTCAGTGAATTTTTCTGGATCATTTTCACAAATGAAGAATACAAAATCAAGGGAAAAGACACATTGATCCTTGTTTCTCTGTATTTTTTTTTTTTTATTTTCCCCACCTAACATTTGGTCATTGATTGAAGGAGGTGCCCTCCTGAGACACTAGTAGAGAGACTTCTTGGTAATATATGTCATTACTGGTGTAATGGGGGTTCAGCTGCATCCATAAAAACAGAGGTAGAACAGGTAAATTATATGCTCTGAAGTCACACTTAAAAGTCATTGCTGGATAAGTGTATCAGGGCTTAATTAAACACTGATACTTTTGGTCTGTGTTTGGCCCAGCCACCTGTGATTTTATCTTTTTCCTGCCAATTTATGAGAAAACAAGCACTGATAAATGGGAACTTCGTCCTTGAAGCAAGTATCTTGCATAAACTCAAATTAATTGCTGTCTTCTGATTGACTAATTGCCTTTCAAGGGCACTTGAAAGGCAAAGTGAAGAAAAGGGAGATGAAGTAAAACCCCTAGAATCAATTAGAAAAGACCCCTGAGGTATAACACACATGCACAAGGGGAATCCTGAGTTACTCACACATGTGCAGAAGAGATCCCACTTGCATAACCAGGGAGTGGGACTGAGGTCCTCTAGTGGGCTGGTGCTGACCACACCAGCCCAGGTAGACGTCACTCAGTTAATTGTATAAAAGAAGTTAGCTCTTGTTGGAGGTCGGTAGCAAGCTTCACATCAAGGACAACGTTGACTTTCGTGGGGATGCCCGCTATTTTGTGAGCCTGCTGACTCTCCAGGAATGCAGCTTCTGGTATGGGTAGTTCTAGGTATTCTGAGTCGGTAACATAACTTTATAAGCAACACCTGGGTAATTGCGGGAGTCGTACCAAGGGCTTATTTTCCTCCTCCTTCCTCTCTTTTGGGTTTGTTTGTTTTGTTGGCTACCTCTTGGTAATAAATATCAGTTTTTGTTGAGCTTTCAACGGTGTTATGGTTTCAGCTGCAGTATCCTCCGAACTCTCCCTGTTACAATAAGTCTGAGATTTCAGCCTTTTTAGTACTCCCATCAAAGACACATACAAAAGCTACAATTGCTGGATAAATATTACTGAATATTGCACCTTCAATAATTGTGTCACTGTGTTGTCCAGAACTAGGTAATCAGATGGGAGGTTGTCCTGCCAAAGATACCACCCTAGGCTGACACCTTGCAAGGGAACCTTTTTCAGTAAAAGCTCTTAACTGAAGGATGCTGGACAGTTACCAGAAATGTCAAAGGGTTGAAATTGTCATGTGTTGCTACAGTTCAGCCAGCAGCTAGAGCGATACTATCTTTTGGATAGGGCCAGTATTAAGCTTCTCACCAGAACTCTTAATTTCTCTGTCCAAAGTGCTTTCTGTAGGCTTTCAAGTGTTCCATTAGCTCTATGAAACTTTCTGACTTTTAAGAGCATTCCACTTTCCTAAATCCTCCTCTCCCTTACTCCTGGCAGCTCTTGCTGTTTTCTAAGTATTTTGTTCGAGTCCTAGCTAGAGCTATTGTGTGCTTGATGATTCTTTTGGGTCCCTTCCAACTCTATTTATATATGCTTCTATGATTCTGTGAAAGACTTGTGTCTGACCACCAAAGCAACATTAAAAGAGGAAGTGGAAGACAATTTCTATATAAATGTATTTTAAAACTTTGAAAAAGCCTTGAAACCTGTTGGGATAGAAATTTTCCATAGATGCTTGCAAGTTAAAGCCAAACATATTCCATTTGAAAAAATGAATGCTTAACCCCGAGGGTGGGAAGCAACTGGAACAATACCCTAAAGGCACAGTGGGTCTGCTTCACTTAAAGTCTTTGAGTCAGCCCTAAAGGCCTTCTCTAAACATAGGCTCTAGTTCAATGAAAAATTATGTGCTTGCAGCAGGAACAACTAGGCAAACTCTACAGACTACACTATACAAAAGGACCAAACTGTGCAGTCACTGATGACTCTGTACAGCCTTCAGAAATTCATGAATCTGTAAAACAGTCACTCACCCATAGTGAGTAATTGAGCTAGAGTATGTTCGGCTTTTTTTTCTTTTTCAGGTCCTCCTCTTACCAGCCTTCTTGAACCTTCATTTCTTTAATATTGAACTTCAACAGGAAAATACTTTTTCTTTCCTGTCTCTTTTGATTCAATTACTTTTCTGATTTTAGTTATCAATCTGTAATTCTGTCAATTCTGAAAGAGAGTTTATATGAAAGATATAGCTGAGGCTTGTGACTGTGCAAGAGATTGTTCTTTTATGTTTGAAAGCTCCCCAATGTTCTTTCAGCTCTTTGATGTGTCTGGCAGGGAATGCAGAGTAAGGAGAGTCTAGTGTGTAAATCCATCTTCACTACAGGTTTGTGGATCTTTTTTGGTGGGTGAAAATTAGATAGTCTTATCAATCTGGATAGCAATGCAATATTCTACTTAGCATTAGTAATTCTGGATTTTGAACATTAATAATGGGAAGCTTGATTTTCCAAACAGTGGACCAGGTCACACCAGCATCAAGCAGACACAACTGTTTTAATCCAACACTTTCACAGCATAAGATACAGACCTGGATTTTTTTTTCCTGACCTATACCTACATGTGTTAAAAACTTAGGAAAACCAATATATGACAACACTAAAAATAAAGAGAGTTCGCTTGGATGATTAAAGGTGTGATTCCACAGAAATTAAAGCTAATTAAAGCTCGGGCTGCTGCAATTTCACTACATTCTCCTTCTGCAGCTGTATGTTTCCCCTCTTTTTGGTAACCTTTATGCTCTCTGACTGCATGATGGGTCAGATCAGAAGGCTTACCTTACTGGCAGCTAAGTAGTGTTTTAGTAAAGACCCATTTACTTAATTTTCCTGGACCAGTGCACCACACAGTTGCACAATTACAGACTTAGGTGAAGACATCAGTGAAGAATCACATGGCTCAGGTAGCTCAGGTAGATGTGACTTGACTGGCTGTGGTCATTCATCTCCACATCTCCACTTCCCAAGCATGTTTTTCAATGCCTTTTAACTTGGTGTTACCCTGAAGCAAAGCCTTTGTGTCCTGTCTGATCTCCCTTGGAAGAAGTGTTTGTTTAATCATGTCTCTGTCAGTTTCCTATCCACATGGATGACAAGAAGGTGATGGATTCACCTTCTTGATGATTCACCAAAGGGAAACCATGCTTGACCAACCTGATTGCCTTCTATGATGAAACAACTACCCGGATGCATGAGGGGAGAGAAGTGGATACTGTCTATCTCAACTTCAGAATGGCATTCAACACTACGTCTCAGAATAACCTCAAAGCTAAACTCAGGAAGTGAGGCCTGGATGAGTGGACAGTGAGGTGGATTGAGAACTGGCTGAATAGCAGATCCCAGAGGGTCATCATCACAGTAGCACAGGGTCTAGCTGGAGGCCTGTCACTAGTGGTGCCCTTAAAGGTTTTATACTGGGCCCTGTATTGTTTAACTTCTTCATCAGTGACCTGGATGAAGGGGCAGATGCCTCCTGAGCAAGCTCACTGATGATACAAAGCTCGGGGGAGTGGCCAGTACCCCAGAGGGCTGTGCTGCCCTTGACAGGTTGGAGGGATGGGCAGAGACCTGTCTGAAATTCAACAAAGAGAAGTGCAGGGTCCTGAACCTGGGGAGGAATAACCCCAAGTACTGGTACAGGTTTGGGGCTGACATACTGGGAAGCAGCTCTGTGGAGAAGGACCTGGAGGTCCTGGTGAACTACAAGCTCTCCATGAGCCAGTAGTGTGTCCTGGTAGCCAAGGTGGCCAATTGTATCCTGGGATGCATTAGGAAAAGCACTGTCAGTAGGTCAAGGGAGGTGATCCTGCCCCTCTACTCATCCCCACTGAGGCCACATCTGGAGTGCTGTGTCCAGTTCTGGGCTCCTCAGGACAAGGGAGATGTGGAGCTTCTGGAGCAGGTCCAGTGGAGGGTCCCAAAGATGATTAAGGGACTGAAGCATCTCTCTTCTAAGGAAGGGCTGAGAGAGCTGGGCCTGTTCAGCCTTGAGAAGATAAGGCTGAGAGGGAGCTTCATCAATGTCTGTAAATATCTGAATGGAATGCGTCAAGAGGAGGAAACCAGGCTCTTCTTGGTAATGCCAAGCAATAGAACAAGACACAATGGGAAGAAACTGATGTACAGAAAGTTCTACCTGAATATGAGAAAGAACTAACTAACTGTGGGAGTGACCGTGCACTGGAACAGATTGCCCAGAGAGGCTGTGGAGTCTCCCTCACTGGAGATATTCAAGAACCATCTGGGTGTGATTTTCTGCCATGTGCTCTAAGATAACTCTGCTTGAAGAGGGAAGTTGGACAAGAAGACCCACTGTAGTCCCTTCTAACTTTAACCATTCTGTGATTCTGTGACTTTGCACTATGATGCACCACAAGAAAACACTTCTCAGCGAACAAATCAGTGGAGAGAGAGAAGTTAGCTGTAGTCAACATCCTACTTTTGAAGAATTGATAATGGCATTGTTGCCTAAAGATCGAGTAGAAAAAAATCCAGGCAAATTTAGTAGAGATAAGATACAGAACAGCTCTTTAATGAAGGCCTTCTGGCACAAGGAGTACGAAAAGGCATGTCCACCCCGTGTCCACAGGTTCCACAATTTATGGTCCAATTCGAGAACCACTCACTCTGAGGTCTGCCCCTCAGGCATACCTCCTCCGAAATTGAGTTGGAGGTCCTAAGACCCCTTTCTTCCTCTTCTTCATGGCATGTACTGTCTTTGGAGCTTCTCCAAGGTTCCAGGCTTGAAGGTTGCTTTGACTACGATGGTATCTTGTTGATCAGGCCTGGGGTGAAAATATTCTTAAACAGGAGGTGTTTAGTACAGTCTTTAGCCTAAACAAGCTTAAAGAAATTAGAAAATTTGATATGAAATGGGGGAATAGGGTTTGGTAAGCATTAACTACAATTCTAAAGTGTGACAGACTACACAGCTACATTAAAATCTACAAAAGCTAAAAATCCTAAAAATTCAAAGGCATCAGCATGAATAACTAAATATTGGCTGAAGTACAAAGGCTACAATCAAGAAGTTTCAAAAGCTAAAAGGAAAGGATGAAACAAAGGTGGCTTTGTCCTTGGCAAGGTTGAGAAAGGCATCCAGGGGAGTTGTACCTTGAAGCATGCAAAAAAAGAACAAGGAGGACTGTGCTAGAGTAATAACAGATGAAAAACGTTACTGTCAAAGCCAGGTACTACAGTGGTATTGACTACTGTGATCACTGCTGTGGTGGTTTGAGACCCTCAAAAATCCAATTTCCAAGTCCAAGCCCCCCTCCCACAACCTGTTTCAGTGTGAGAGGGTTTTCCAGACACAACACAACTCAGTATGGGGGGAAGGGAATTACATTACAGT